AATTATATTACACCACTTTTCAATTGTATTTCCAGTAAACAGAGTTACTAAATAGAATCAACCGATTCTGCTAGGAGTCCTGTGAAGCTAGAGCTCTTTAGCCGTGGGATTTTAAAATAACTTTCATCTCAGTAATTTTCTTTAAAACACATACACATGTGTGTACATATACAATTTCCTGAAGTGTACTCTTTTCTTCTACAACATACACCCTTAATGTTATTATTACTTCTGTTTATCCTTTATTTTCCATATTATCTTTTTCATAAGCTGATTTCCAAATTGATTTTTTTAAGACTGTCCATACATAGTTTCTCTTTTAGTTTCAATCTACTCATTTTGTGAAAGTTTACTTTGAGATAAGATTTCATTACAATCAGAATTCCTAATGTGTTAGGCTAATTATCCTCAACTAAAATACTTTAAATGGTACAGACCATTGATCTTTATTCAGTTAGCACTTGGTATTTCCCTTTTTCCTAATCTTCCATTAATCATTTTCCTAAATCACTCTCTACATCTGAATATAACTCATTAAAGGGCAGCTATTATACAACTTTCACCCCCATCATCAAATCATGCCCCTACTACTAGTATTTTGTAAATAGTAAGCACCCAATGTTTACTAAATGAAACATGAAAAGTGTGATGTACTTAAAAAATGCTTTTATTCATTGTGCAAGAGTAGGGAAGATAAAGTAACACAAAGGTAGAAAAGGTAGTAAGTATTTTATTGGTTATTTGGACACTTTGTTCTTTTCAGCCAGCATTGGAATGGGGGTGGGGATTGGAAGGCAAGAGGAATGACTCAGAGAGGTAAAGGACACGTAATCAATACAACACGGGATTATTCAGTGTGTCCTGGCTCCTATCGCTATAACCAAGTACCATAGACTGGATGGTCATAAACAACAGGAATTTGTGTCTCACTGTTCTGGAGGCTGGAAGTCTGAGATCAAGGTGCCAACATCGTCGGGTCTGCTGAGATCCTCTTCTGGGTTACAGGCTACCAGCTTCCTATACCTTCACATGGCAGAGAGAGAATGAGCTAGCTCTGGCCTCTTCTTATAGACACTAATCCCATTAATGAGGACTCCACTCTCATGACATAATTACCTCCCAGTGGCTCCACTTACAAATATCATCACATTGAGGGTTATATTTCAGTGTATGAATTTTGGGGGGACAAAAATCTTCAGTCCATAATGTAGTGTTTACAGTATTCTAAGTAAAGTCTAAGTCAAGCATGTCAGGCATGTGGCCCGCCGGCCGAGAGTTTGTCATGCTTGGGCTAAATGCTTGGGAGAGGCACAGAATTTAAAAACCCCACAGATCCTTATGCTGTGCTCTTGGGGAGTTACAACAATCACACAGCCAGCTCAGAGGAATATTACATCCCAAGTAGTGCAATGTTGACCATCTGTTCAATAAAAGGTTCCGAGACATGGAAGTTGTGGATTGGGACCAACTGAGGAATGCTATAGGAGAATATGGGTGTTTCAGTGAATCTTAAATTTCCAGATGTGAAAGACAAAAAGTACAAGACGAAGATAGGTGGAAGAGGAAAGCATGTATGTTTGGAAAGGGAAATACTGTAAGGCACAAGTAATACAAACAAAAGGCACTTCTATTTCTCCTCCAACTGATTTTTACAATGTTGTCTAGTGGTGTGGCAATATGCTAGCCACTAGCTACATGTGGCTTAGTTTAAATTAGCTAACATAAAATAAAATTTAAAAATCAGTTATTTTCTTTTGTAAAAATGTTTTTTTTTAAAATATATTTTATTGATATTTTACAGAGAGGAAGGGAGAGAGATAGAGAGTTAGAAACATCGATGAGAGAGAAACATCGATCAGCTGCCTCCTGCACACCTCCTACTGGGGATGTGCCCGCAACCCAGGTACATGCCCTTGACCGGAATCGAACCTGGGACCTTTCAGTCCACAGGCCGACGCTCTATCCACTGAGCCAAACCGGTTTCGGCTGTAAAAATGTTTTTATCCTCACACAAGAACATGTTTTTGTTGATTTGAGAGAGAGTAGGAGACGTGGGGGGGGGGGTTGCGGGGGGAGGAGGGAGAGAAGGGGGAGAAAACTTCAATGTGAGAAACATGAACCATTGCCTCCTGTACACCCCCCAGCACAGAGGTGCTGACCAGGATCGAACCCACAACCTGGATAGGTGCCCTGACCAGGAATCTAACCAGAGACCCTCTGGTGCACGGGAGGATGCTCCAACCGAGCCACACCAGCCAGGGCGCAGTTCTTTATTTTCACCAGCCCGATTTCAAGTGATCAATAGCCACAGGTGGCTAGTAGTGCAAATGTGAAACACACCCATCACTGCAAAAAAGTTCTTTCGTGCTATAATATGCACTACTGAGTACTTACTATATAAAAAGCTTCCATAATTCTATTTAATCTGCATTGCAAATTTATAAAGTATATACTTACAGGCAAGAAAACTGAGGTCCCTATTAAATATTTTCCCAAAGTCACATAGTCAGTGGCAGGGCTGTGATTTGAAATTTCATCTGACTTCAAAAACTGATGCTTCAAGCCATGGGAAACAAGGTTACTGGGCAGGGAAAAATGAGCTATTTACCAAAACAATAACATCCCAGATCGAACTTTTCACGGCAGGCAAAATCCAATAGGTTCTTGAGTAAGGGAACAAAATCATAAAAGTGGTATTTCAGTATAATTGGTGTGTGTGTGCTTGCTCGTGCTGAATTTAACAAGATTATTTTCTGTTATCAAGGAGACAGGGGCTCAAAAGAGGTTGTATAACAGAAAAATGTAAAAGTTGCATTTCTTTGCACACACACCAGAGCAAAAGGAGTCTCTTTAAAATGTGAACGTTTTCCAGAGACTAATCCTCAGCCCTTTGCTCTTATCTCGATACAAGTTCCTCTACATGACGTCTTCCATGGCTTTCATGTGAAGCAACAGCCTCCTCAACGGTCCTGCCTGGGTCTGCTTCTTCGCCTACAATGTAGACTCTACATCATAACAGTGATGCCAGATTAGTATCTCGAAACTCTTTTTAGAAAACTATTCTGCTGCTCAAAATCTTTACATGATAATCTAGTGCCTTGTATGCTAAACTTTTGTTAAAAATTAGCTTGCTCTTAAAGCTCTTTCCAATCTGTCTCCTCTTATCTCGATCTAGCCTTGTTTTCCATTCCAACACTAGCCTTAATCCTAGTCAAATCCATCCAGAAAGTCTCCAAACATATTTTGACATCCTGGTTTCAATGCTATTTTTAAAACCAGCTCCTTTCACCCGCAAATGATTTCCTACGTGCACCTACGTGCACCTATCTTTATAGCATAAAATGCAACCACTTCCCTGATCCATGCCAGGTGTCAAGATTTCCTCTTCTACATACCAAGTCTTTGTACCAGAGGTTGTAAGATGGTTTTGCTTGATCCATTATTAAAATGTTTAAGTAATTCTTAGCACTTAAAAATCATTTTAAAATTGGAAACTCTAGTAGGGCCCACACTTCAATAAATGGCAAAAGCTTATTAGTAGTTACCATCGTCAGAGACATACTGTTTGGTTAGATGGTCGTGGCTGCATTTGGAAAGTGTTATTGAGCACCTATTGCTTGCCCGACACTGTTTTAGATGCTGGGGATACAGCAATGAACAAAACCGGCCATAGAATTTATGTTCACAAGAGGAGAAACAGAAAATAAATAAGTGATATAGTAGGAAGTGATAAATGCTATGGAAAAATAAAGCAGGGTTAAGGAGAGGGAGTATCTGGGTGAGAGGGTGCTTGCACTTTTACATTTACTTAGGTCCTGGCTGGATCCTAAGGGAATTTGAGTTTGTGAGCCCAACTATGTAGTAGTCCACCCTTACCTGCGTTTTTTCTTTCTATGGTTGCAATTATTCGTGATCAACCATGGTCCGAAAATATTAAATGGAAAACTTCAGAAATAACCCCTAAGTTTTACATTGCAAGCCATTCTGCGTAGCATGATGCCATCTCCAGCCATCCTGCTCCAGCTGGTTGGGGCTTGAGTCGTCCCTTTGTCCAGCATATCCCCCTAATTAGATCAACTTGTGTTATTGCGGTGCGTGTGTTCATGTAACCCTTATTTTACTTAATAATGGACCCAGACTCATTCACACAACTTTCATTAAAGTATAACTTCAATTTCAGTAGTTATTGTTAATCATTTCTTATTGTGCTTAATTTATACATTAAATTTTATCCTAGGTATGTATGTATAGAAAAAACAGGTAATACCCAAGGTTTCAGGCATCCAACGGGGGTGGGGAGTCTAGGGCTGCACCCCCCTCGGATAAGGGGGGGCTACTGTTTATCAGGACTGTCATATACTGCCATGTCTATGCTCCTGTCAGCAACCTGAGGGCAGGGGGTGTGCCTCGCTCCTCTCTGGACTCCCAGAGTCCAGCAGTATTTTCAGGGCACCTTTTCACGATGGAAGTAAAACGTTAGGAGTCCCCAGAGTCAAAGTTATTCCCAGAGTGGTTATTCCGGCGAGGTTCAGGCACCAGGAGAGTGCACCGCCCTTAGCCCTCCAAGAGAAGAACCAAACCCCTTGTCCGTTCTCAAAGCCACCTCTATGCCAAGGCTCCATCAGTTTCCAGGGCAACAGGACTGTGACGCGACCGCAACCGCGGGTCCACGGCTGCCGGCAGGAACCAGCCTGCCGCTCAGGAGCCAACTACTTAGCCGTTTGAACCCGCAGCCTCACGTAGAAAACCCCGGACAACCGCGTCCCCTAGAGCGACGGCCCTAGCACTGTAGCTACGGGCCTCTGGCGTCGCCCAGTAGTAAGCGCGACAACTTCCGGCCTTCGAAGGACCCCGCTCCGTGGCTTGCCGGGGTCCTAGCGATGGAAAGGTGTCCACGGAGAACGCCTGATGCCTACGAGGGCCTGTAACAAGGGCTGCCTCCTCCTCCTGGCGGGCAGCGGCGACAGGGCCACCGAGAGGATGCTCACGGCTGCCGGGACCTCGTCCCAGGGGCGGAACCGGGGGCGGAGCGCGGACCCGCAGCTGGCGGATCAGGCGGGACTCAGGCAGGTGCGACGGCGGAAGTAGGAGGTGTCGATCGGAGCGGAGCCATCTAGGAAGCTGCGGCCGCCGGTCCTCTAGCCCCGAGCAGCTGCCCGTCTCAGCCAGACCGCAGCGACCAGGGCGCGGGTGTGGGCGAGATGCCTCTCTTCGCCGCCAACCCCTTCGAGCAGGACGTGGGTAAGTGCTGGTTCCGGGCCGGGGCTGCTGTTAGTCGCGGTAGAAAGTGGGCGGTGGCGACTCCGGGGACTGGGAAGCCAAAGCCAAGGGAGAGAAGGGGGCGTCGCCGCCCGGAGGGTCTCTTCGCCCGATCGCTGGCGGCCGGGGGAGGGCTTCCCGCCCACCTGAGGCTGGGGACCCCGGGGGAGGCCTTTCCCCTCGCCAGGCGCAGGAATGGGGAAGAAGGACCTGGGACTTGCTGGCGGCGGGGACGAGGGAGCAGTCGGGGAGCTGACGGTGCAGACTCCTTGCTCCCTGTAGAGCCGGTTAGCACCCCTCGCCCTTTTAGGGGGCGATGCAGATGCGGAGACCCCGCGGTCCAGGGCAGCCCAGCACTAGAGGCCTTGACTTGACCCATTCAGCGGGAAGAATCTATTTCCCTCGCTCCTACACGAATGCACCCCGGCCCTGAGAGCGGGGCTTCAGCATTTGTTTACCGCCTTTGGCAGTGTTACGCCCTGTCCCTGGCGGGCGCAAGTGCTACGAAATGTTGTCTTGGGGTATGAAAAGGAAAACCCCAGGGTTTCAAAACCGCCCAGAACAACTAGCATTTATTGGCTGGGGTTGTAGGAGCGCTTTCGGCTCAGTGACCATGAAGTGAGAGAAAGATGGACGGGGTAAGAGAACTTATTTTTTTATTTTTTTTATTTGGGGCGCTAGAATCAAAGTAAAAACAAATAGGCTAAGTAAGATTAGTTAACAGAACCCTAGTTAGAGCTTTAGGACTTGGTGGAATGAAAAACGAGTGGCTAAACATTACCAGGATCACACAGGCACTTCACATCACAGCCCTGAGCCACCTGTTTCATAAGTTACAATTTTCTTACTGTGAAGACACTAAAAAGTGCCCTGTTTTGATATATTAATGTGATTCCAAAAGTGTGTTCAAAAGTCAAATACAATGTACATTTTAAGTCACTTCCATTCCCATAGATCTAAACGTTTTTATATCTTGCTCCTAGATAGTCTTCAAATATGTATTTACATAATTTTTTAAAATACATTTTATTGATTTTTTACAGAGAGGGAGGGAGAGGGATAGTTAGAAACATCCAGAGAGAAACATTGATCAGCTGCCTCCTGCACGCCCCCTCCTGGGGATGTGCCCGCAACCAAGGTACATGCCCTTGACAGGAATCAAACCTGGGACCCTTCAGTCCGCAGGCGGAGGCTCTATCCACTGAGCCAAACCAGTTAGGGCTGTATTTCCATAATTTTATTCAACTTTTTTCCTTGGTAGTTTAATACACGTGACTGTCATAAGTTTAGGAAGCAGCCTTTGCTAATGATGTCTCCCTTTATTGCACTGAGACTCGTATTGCTTACTAGTGGCTAGTGGCCTGGTGCACGCATTTGTGCACATTGAAAGGAAATTAATTAGAAGAAATATTTAAATATCACTATTCACCCTTCCCCTATAATAGAAGTGTCAACCAAATTCATAATCGACAATGACAGATTGACGTGTGCGATTGGTGCCACCGAGAGCTTTATATGTATTGCGCATGCGTGAGTCAACTTAGCCTTGTTTAGATATAGAATAAACTTGCTTAATTAGTCCTGCTTTCTGATTTAGCTAAACTTTTTCCAGCCCAGTGAGGCACCCCAACTTCTCTTTCAGGTAATTGTCAGCAACACAGCAGTAAATATTAACATGAGGCAGATTATTATTGTAGTTCATGCAGGGAGAACAAAGGGTAAAATATTTAACTGTAGCAGTGTTTGACTATATTCTGCGCAGTGAGAAAACCTGAAGTCATTTTCAAGTTCCACCATTTCTTACTTCTTTTCAGCCGGGTCAAGTTTCTAAACTTTCTAAATCTCCGTTTTCCAGCTAATGAAAAGAAAATAGGATTCTGCCAAGTCTCCTACCTACCTACCCCAGGACTTCTGTGAGGATCAAATGAGATGAGGCACTTGAAAACATTTCACAAACATTTAGTTAAAGTGTAAAATGTTTCCACCTGGCTATAAAGCAAGTCATATTCCTGGGCTGAAGAAATTCCCAGGAGGCTAGTCAGTAGGGAGAGGAAGCCGGGCATTGCTATGTGATGTCATTATCTGGTGCCACAGCAACTGTTTCGGGCTGGGCTGTGGGCTGCATTTTGCGCCATGGGGTCTTGGCAGCGTTGACTGCGATTTGGTGGGGTGAATCGGGTGGTGGTGGGGCCTGTGTCCCACTTGGGGGAAGCTGAGTGTTGATTTGTCAGTGCCAGGTCTGTAAATGGCCAGTGTGTATCATGGCAGATCCTGTGTTGACTGTCTGCTCCCTGGTGGTCAGTGTGCACCATAGCTACCGGTTGGACGGACACTTAGCCTTTTATATATATAGATTGCTGGTGTGAAGACTTTCATTGTGTGCTAGTGAAATAAAACAGAATGGGCAAACTAGAATAAGACAAATGATTTTCAAATTTTAAAACTGTGGAACTCTTTGTTCAAGGGAAATCTTTTCTGGAAGCCCACTGTTTTCTGATTGAAAACTTCCAGAAGTGGGTTGAGTTGTTTTCACAGTTTAGTACCAATGTAGTAAGAGGCACTGCTGTGCAGACATAAAAATACAGCTGTGTATAGATTATTTCATGGACATTGCCATTAACCAAACCTTAAGTACTTATTTATTAACTCAAGTGTGATTGTCAGTATCCAAAAGACTTTTTAAAGGTGAAGGAGCAAATTTAATTGAGATCCATCTGTAACTTCTCCAGCGGTTCTCAACCTGTGGGTCACGACCCCTTTGGCGGTCAAACGACCCTTTCACAGGGGTCGCCTAAGACCATCCTGCATATCAGATATTTACGTTACGATTCATAACAGTAGCAACATTACAGTTATGAAGTAGCAACGAAAATAATTTTATGGTTGGGTCACAACATGAGGAACTGTATTTAAAGGACCAGAAGGTTGAGAACCACTGGGTTAAGCGATACAAGCAAGTCATTATTTAACTTGAGATGTCTATAGGAATGTTTCTTTGCCATAATGCATTGTCTTTTTCACTTACTCTCTTTGATTCAGTCAGATTTTTACCATTTTTTCTTTTTGTTTTGGTCATATCTTTGTTCACCTTTCATTCAATAAACATGTATTGAATGATTACTGTATGTCAGACATTGTATTAAATTCTGGGGACACAAAAATTTAATAGACAGACTGGATTACTGCCTTCAGGAAACTCAGTCTAATGGAGGACACATATACACATAGAAAGGCAGTTGTCATGTAGTGTGATTATCATAGTACTAGAGATAACATGACATGCTTTGTTTACATACTTCCCTTTACTTAAAGCAGTCATCTTCTCTGAAGAGAAGACTAAGACCTCCAGGCAGACTTTTTGTTTGTAAAGGTATTGACACTGTCCTCTCTTCCCACTCCCCCTTTTCTGACAGTATTTCTACCTACAAGAAGTAACCTTACCTTATGGTATGGTCATTTTGTAATTAAGGGCCTTTAAAGATGAACCTACGTTTCTTTGATTCGTATTGAGTCTCACCAGAGGGTGAGCAGTCTTTCTGACATCATTCATGTCATGAAGAAACCCTTTTCTCAGATTCAGAGGAAGAGCTGTAGTGAGTCATAAGTTGATGATAGAATATGACTTGTCAAATGGAAGCAGGCCAAAGGCCAGGAAATTCCTATTTTTTTCAGAGTCAGAATGTACAAATCCTGATTGGTATGCTAGGAATGGTAGCATGAGAGCTCTTTAAATATTTGTTGGATTTATTCAAATCCGGATTTATTTTTTGTTTTAATAAAATTCTCTTGAAGCTGTGCTGAGGCAAAAACAAAAATATACATACACTCCAGTCCAGCATCTTAAAGGGAATATAGGGTTTTTGGTTGGTGCAGCCATCTTAAAAGATTTTAAGGGAAAAATGAAACATGCGGACAGAGCCACAGTAGGACGATTTAGTGGTTAGTGTTAAAAGGAATGTCATTTCCTTATATTCTGTACTAATTTTTCCATCTCACTGCATTGGTTCCTGACTCGTGACTTGTCTGTTTTGCTCCCTAACTCCAGTTCTATTTGCTTATCTTTTTCTTCTTAGTCCAGGCAATCTTTCTCGCAAGGTTCTGCCTCTGCCATTTACTATTCACTAATAGGCTTTTGCTTTTTTTTTTTTTTTTTTTTTTACAACCTTGGTATCTCCTTCCTTAAAGATACACCTACTTGTGTCCCACAAAGCTGACCTCAAATTCTACCTCTATAAAATTCTGTCAGTGGATTGAAGTGTGAACTTTTATCTTAAAAGGGAAATTTGAATGCGTGTATTGTTGTGTCTTTGGCTTGTGTTATATTAGAACTTGAAAATGAGTTAGCTTGGGAATTTTATATTTACAAGAAACCCTAATATAAAAGTAGATATTGATTGTACTTCAGTAATACAAATATGTTCAAATTTATAACATCTATGTACTTATGTCAATTCTTGAATACAGTGAGGTTCTATCCTATTCTTTTGCTTCCCTTCTCAGAGTTTTTTGTAGTGTTCCTATAAAAAAACTCTACAAAAAGCTATAAACTCTAGCTTTATAATATACAGTTATATTATACAGTTATATTATAATATACAGTTATATTATAAAATAACTCTTGAACAACATGGGGGTTAGGGAAACCAACCCACTGCACAGTAAAAAATCTTCATATGACTCCCCTAAAACTTAACTACTAACAACCTCTCTACCTCTCCCTTCCTCTCTGAAATAATAAAAATATATTTAAAAAAAAGAAAATCATAAGAGAAAATACATTTACAGTATTGTATTGGATTATCAACACCATAAGTTTATGTCATCTGTTTTAGGCTCTGGTTCATCAGAAAATTTTTTCAAATTGTCTATGGAAAACAATTTGCATATAAGTGGGACCATGCAAATCAAACCCATGTTGTTCGAGGGTCAACTGTATGTACTGTGCATACCATATACTACATGTATTGCTTTATATGTTTTTA